GGGGGTGGATGGGATGGGGGGGAGGGCAGATGTCAGGGGTCAGGGGTCAGGAAGACTCACCAGTCCTGCACAGCGGCAAAGGACTCCTGGTTGGCGATGTCATACATGAGCAGGAAGCCCATGGCTCCGCGGTAGTAGGCCGTGGTGATGGTCCTGTAGCGCTCCTGGCCCGCCGTGTCCTGCCAGACAGCAGCTGTTAGGCAGCCACAAGCTGTGCTGCTGCTGACCCAAGCCCTTGGGCCCTGGGGGCGGTGACAGGGACTTGGCACCAGGAGAGGCCCCAACCTGCTTTCCTGACCTCCAGGGGTCACCAGGGGTCCAACGGCACCTGGGCTAGGACCCCGCGCACCACCCTAAACCCCCGGCCGGCTGCCCCGCCCACCCAGATCTGCAGCTTGATCCTCTTGTCGTGGCGGTAGACGGTCTTGACCTTGAAGTCGATGCCCACGGTGCTGACGAAGGCAGGCGTGAAGGAGTCGTCGGCGTAGCGGAAGAGGAAGGACGTCTTGCCCACGCTGCTGTTGCCGATCAGCAGGAGCTTGAACATGTAGTCGAAGTTCTGGTCGGCGGCATCCCGAGGGCCCGCAGCGGGGTCTCTGGCTGATGCCATCTTGGCAGGGGCCTCCTGGAGCTGGGGGTCAGGAAAGCCCTGCAGGGGGAATGAAACACTCTGAGGGCCCCAACGGCTCCACCTGGCGTAGGTTCAAATCCCGGCTCTGTCAGTTGGAGGCCAAGGAACCCTGGCTGCACACCAGCTTTTGGAAAAATGGGATGTCTGTCATAATCCTGACCTGAAAAAAGCAAATGGCTGGGAGCCTAAAAGGAGTTTCTTTAGTCATTCAACAAACACGCACTGAGTGCAGTTCTGCGCCAGGCCCTGCACAATGACATAGCTGCAAATAAGAGGGGACAAAACCCAACCAGGGGGCAGTCACGCGCCTTCCAGTGGAAGGTTATTAATTCACTTCATGGGCAGAAGAGTGCTAGGGATATAGCTGACAGTATGTGCAACTGCTGCTTAATCTTCACGCAAAGGCGAAATTGAGTTTTGTTTGTTTTTGAGTTGCGGGTCTCACGAGGGGGCCCAGGCTGGCCTCCAACTCACAGCCCATCCTCCTGCTTCAGCCTCCCGAGTTCTGGGATTACAAGCGGGCTCCATCACATCCAGCTTGGGGGGAGGGACGACTCCTGTTTCGAGCCCCCCGAGCTCTGGCAAAGGGTTCAAATATGGGGCCGGGGCGTGTGTGGTGAGGACAGGAGTCTCTGGTGGCCACCAAGGAAGTCTCCACGGAGGCCAAGTGGACTTTGCCCCAGGGTGAGCAGCTGGTGCTGCTCAGGTGTGAGCCGGTGCAGGGGGTGCAGGGGGACCCTGGCAGCAGCATCAAGCACCCCTAGGGCTGGGCGTCGACTTTGCCAGGTGCCTGCCCTGCCCCCACCCCGCCCAGCTTAACTCTTTCCTGCACCCCCAGCGCCGGGGGCGCTCTGCGGACAGGCCCGGGCTTACAGCGCAGCTCGGAACCTGCGGTTTCTGTTTGTCAAAGGGGCAGGGAGGCTGGAGCCAGAGCCCTCAGCTCCAAGGAAACGCGCCAGCCACCTGATCACCACCGGTCGGCTTCCCTCTCCTGGTCCTGCTCCTCCAGGCTGCCGCCTCCCAGGCACCCGGCTGCCCCCTCGACCCTCATCCGCTCCGCAGGCCTCAGTTTCCCCAGCCGTGGCCGCCTGGACAGCGCAGGAAGGCCTGCACCAACGCAGAGGAAGCCCAGGCAAAGCTGTTTCTCAATCGCCGCTGAGGCTTTTTTTTTTTTTTCCATTTTAAGCGAGGACCCAGCGGGCCCC